CTGCAGAGCTACACATCTGGAGGGCGTTAGGTTGGAGAAGGCTGCCTTCAATGATCACATACTGAGATGCAGACAACATCCCTACCTTGAATAACAGCCTAGAGAAAATCCTCACCTGGCCCCAGAACAACAGAGCACGAGCTGTCAAAGGTGCAGATTGCGTAACCAAGATGCTGAAACTGGATCTGTTATAGAATGACTTGAGTGACACATAGTTCCAAAAGGAATCAGAAGGCTTTTTTTCTCCCCACCTTAGAGGGAAAGGATGCAGCAGAGTAGAATCTACTTGGGAAGGCGAGACCTCCACAGGGAAATAATCTGTGTTTCCCAGCAGAACTGAAGGCACAGTGCTGGAGCAATCTGACCCACTGGCAGAGTTTGCACAACAGGACAACCCAACCAGCCATGGTTTGTTGGTTGTTTTGTGAAGTACCCTAGATGAGCTCAGCACTGTATGTATGTCACTCCCTCCCCCATCATTCTTCCATGAGGTATCTCAGGGGACACCACAAAAAGAAACATCTCTTTTCTCTGCAAGCCATGATCCCAAGTGAGCAAAGGGAAGGTTCAAACGCCTCTGTTCACACCTTTTTAAAGGGAAGCAGAGTTCTACAGTTCAGCTCCCTTTCCCTTTAAAAAGGCAGGGAAAGCAGTTTGACCATTCCCCAGGCCCAGAGAGAGTCAAGACAAAAGGGAAAAGCTGAATCCCCATGAAGAACAAGGGGAAAACATAAAAAGAGAAGGGAATGTCATTTTTGTTGTTGATTTCATTTCTACGCCACCCTACAACCAAAGTATCTGCTGGCAGAAGAACACCCCTTTCTGGCAAACAATCTGTCACACCTTTGCATTCAATGGGTGGCTCACCTTCTGCCAGCCAACCATCGAAAGTAAGGTGGGGAGGGAGGATTTCCTGCCTCAGCTGGCGCTGGCACTGCACTTGCCAAGGGGCAGCGGGCACCCTCCTGTGCACTGCTGTAGCTAAGGCCCCTGCCCCACTTCAGGGATCAAGCCTTTGTTTCCACAACAGGGGGCACGTCTTTTTAAAAAACAACTTTTGTCCACATTCACAGGTACACAAAACATAATTTAAAAATAGTGAGCAGCCATCAAAAGTTCCTGGAGCACTTTAGAGTGACAGCTTCTGCCTGAACATTAAGGAAATTGTGATTTCAGTTTCTCCAGCTGGCTTTTGTGATTCCCCTGCCCTCCCCACAAAAAAAAAGTTTAAAGGGACAAGCTGTGCTTACCAGCTGAAACTGACTAGCAAACACAATGATGAAAGGAGACAGTCTCTGCCAGCCACCCCTAAGGGCCAAATGAGTCCTTTGGGGGTAAATGGGAATGGCAGTCACCTGACAACTGCTTGGTTAAAGAAGCAAAGGTGCTTTGCCACTCTTGTTGAGAGTTGTTAGGCCTCACTCACAATGGGATGTGTTGTCCAGATGGCACGGCAAGCAATCCTAAGTGACAACAAACCCAGAATAGCCTATGGAGGAAAACGTCACCCTTGATGAAGTGGCCCATTCACCCAACACAGGGTTGTGTCACGCAAACCAGACTGCTGCCTTGAGCCCTGCCTGCTCATATCATTTTTAGTTACAAGGCTCATGTGATTTAGTTGCATGCACTACGTGGAAGTTTCTGCATAAACATTTCAGTAGTGTTTCACTGCTCTTTGTCCATTTTTACAGAAACAAAGTATGACTCAAATACAGAGTAGATGCATTCAGAATTAAAAGCAGCATTCCTCATAAATACCTCTGACAAAAGCTGTAAGTTCCAGAGGAGCTCCTTATCTAACTCTTCATCATTCAAGACATCATCATCTAGAAAAGATAAATATTAAGCCCTTATGTTACTTTACTGCAGACTCATAATTGAAGATTATTTGCAAAAGCCTGAGCAATCTTATAAAGAGAAGCTACTCCTGATAAAATGAATATAATATGCTTGAATAGTTTAAAGGCTTAACTAGCTTGTACCTTGACATCTGTTGGAAGAAGAATCAATGAAGTGCCATAACACTCTTTCTTTTGTTTAATTAATAAAAGATAGAGTGTTATGACACTTCATTGAACTTAAATATTGTGGGCTGTTGTACATTTTTTTGTAGACAGGTATTTGTCACATTCACACAAAACATCTTTATGAGTACATCTAAAGTTTTTGGTGTAATGTGTAAAGTGGGACCTCTTTGTTGGATACATGTGAAAACAGGTGTTTGTTTTTTATTATGAATTTCTGTTCTCAACGCCTTAGAGAAGGCATTGATTAACCTCAGTATGGCACCTTTCCCAAGAAGTTGTGCATAGGAGTCAAAAGTTTCTTCTCCAGGGACAGGCACTACCCATCCCTGCCAGACCAAAGTGGAACAGCAAGCAATCCTTCAATTCCACACTGTAAACAGACAAAAAACAGACTTTGCCTGGAAGAGGCTTAAAAACAGGTGTTAAGAACAATATCTGGTAAACTGTGAGGCTTTCATCGTCACAGTAAACAGGGACTGGAAAGAGCAAACCCAAGAATCCCTGCCTCCCACCCCCACATATGAATGGGAACAGAAGTCATAATAACCCCCTCTTGCAAAAAAACTGCATTAGTCCTCAGACTGGGTGGGCAGAAAGTCCCTCATGAGGCTCTGAGAACAGAAACTCATGGTAAGGAACACTTTCTGTATTCTCCAGAGCCTTATAGAGGGCATTCCTTAACCTCCGGACTTAGCAGAGCAGAACTTAATTCTTAAGGTGGGACCAGTGTCCTACACCACCAGAAAGGGAGGGCAGCTCCCCACCCTGAAGCAGCTTTTGGTTCGGCCTACAAGTTCTACAGGGAGGTGCCATCCCAAGGATTAAGAATGCTTCCCATGAAATTCTGGGATTCATTGCCAACTTTTATATTGAAAACTCTCCTTCACACAATACCCACAAGAGATTTATTCTTTTTATTCAGGTTGGCTCACAGGGTCACCCCTTCTCTTTTCCAGTCCATTTAAAAAAACAACAACAATGGATCTGACCAAAGGTTCCTCAAGGTCAGCATGCTATTGTGGAGCACCCTCCAGCTCCTGATCCCCAGTGACTAGTGTACATGGGAATGCTGATACTAGATACCTCTGATACTGGAAACAGCATGTAGTAATAAGGACTAGTGGCTATTGACAACCTTATCTTCCATGAATTTCTTCAATTCCCCTTTAAAGCCATCTAAATTGGGAGCCATCATTTCATCCGTTGGTAGCAAACTCTATCTCTTGTTTAATGTATTTCCTTTAATGTGTCCAGAAAAAGAGAGAGAGAGAGAGAGAGAGGGAGGGAGGGAGGGAGGGAGGGAGGAGGGAGGGAGGAAGGGAGACAGAGATTTTCCTATACCGAGGAAGAGGAAAGAAGTTTGTTTTGTTTTTTAAGGGAAAAAGTAAAGACCACATACACCTAAAAATTTTGTGCATGAATGCAACAAATGCAAATCTACAAACAATTTAGCATAGAGGTGAACTAATCCAGTGCCGTGACTGGCTACAACTGCCAAAAGGCATAGCTGCAAAGTTAGGTTAGCCTCTGAGTATTGTGCAAAATATTATTAAACCACCTGTGACAATATGGACCAAGAAGCCAGGATTATCACAGAGTGATAAACACATGGAGCACATGAAGTTGGCTCTTAGTGTGAATGAAAGATAAGGCACTCGAGGCAAGAACAGCCTATTAAAACTTCTTTCTGTACACATATCGCTTCGAGACTGGAAAGAAAGGGGCCTGCCAGACAGCAACATTCCAACTATGTTTGGTTTCCAAATCAACAGGACAGGACTGATAAGTAATCTCTAATTCTCTGTTAACTTCAAAAAGTATACAAGTACTTTTTGGCTTCAACTACAGCTAACGCAGCTACCCTCACGGAATAAGTTTAGTTGATAACGAATTACGGAAACCATGATGTATCTCATGCCAGTGTGATGCAGTGGCAAGTGCTGAACTGGAGGTCATTGTGTTAAAATCCCAGTGGAGCCACGAAGTTCACTGTGTGACTCTAGGCTAGGGACCAAACTTACACCCCAACTACTGAACAGGGTTGCTATATGTTGCCCTGGAAAAGGTAGTAGAAAAGAGGTAGAATATAAATATATTTCAAAAATTAAATAGCTAGCTTGAAGTCCCATTCAAGCTGGTTATAACACAACAGAAGATCACTGAAACTTACTGAGGGTAAGATGTGCGATTACATTGCAGCAATGGGGCACAAAGAGCTTCAAGGACTCTTCAGGACAGCACTGAAATGTCACAAAGAATTAAGTTCTAGATTAATCTATTTCTGCAAACGCAGACATTCATTTTAAAGATAATGAACAACCTACAGCAATCATTAGGCATGTGTCTTTCTGCTGAGTGGCCTTGATCCTAGAGGGGATGAAGTATTAAGGGCTGCAGAAAGAATCTCCCAGCTGAGGTCTTTAAGGGGGGGATGGAGAACTTGGCAAGAGTTAGACCAGGAGTAATAAAACAGAGCAAGTGTGGTTACTCTTTGGTGTGAATCTTAACTGAGAAAATGAGAGAGGAGAGGAAGAAAAATGCCTCACTTTCACAGCAGCTCGGCACATGTCTGCTACCATCCGGCCTGACACTCTTGTCTCAAAAATATTCGAAACAGCAAAATTGAAAACCTTTTCCAAGGCAACCTGAGGGGAAAAACCAAGAGAAAAACGGTAATACAAACAAGAAGGAAAGATTCTAAAGTAGAACTGGGGAAACTTTTCTGGTTTAACAGCCTAATTGGCTCCAGGCAAGCATGACGGGCACTGCATGTAAAAGTGGGTGGGGCAACCGGACTGGAATGTGACTCCCAGTGTGATTGCCTAGATCCCACTGGTGAGCATACACACTTACACTCATAAAATATACCCTTTAGAAAAAGTCTGATAACAGCAAGGGAGTGCTATTACTATTTCAGAATACTTTGTCAGTTGCCAGTTAAAACAAATAACCAGCTTTTTAGTATATTTCCTTGTCCAACAGGAAAAGGAAGAATTTAAAAAGTTTGATAACCTTTTAGTCATAAAAACAGAAGTAAACAAGGTGAGCAAGATCTCCATTCCCACAGCCTTAGCAATAAGTACCTTAAATATCTCCTTTGAGCATTGTGTGAGGATTGTGCTGAAAGTAGAAGACAGGCCTAATTCCACTAAGCTCTCTAAATGAGTCATCTTTTCTGTTTCAGTCTCTTCTCTCGTTTGCTCCAGTGTGCTGCTCTCTATGAGCCCAAAACATCTGCACAGGAAAAAGCAAGGAAAAAAAACTTTAGTAGAAACAGCACTACATTTTACAAGCTTTCCCATAAATGTCTCTGTTAGCTGGTAGGATGCTATGATGGTTGCCTAATACATTTTCCTGGCGTGTTAAAGAGTCATTCACCAGATCACTTCTGGCAAGTAAACAATTGCTTCTTGGTGACCAGGCAGGAAACAGTAGGCATTATTTTTCCCCTAGTAAGATTGCTAACTCAGGGGAAGTGCAGGCAAGCAGGATGGGGGAAAAAACTTGTCCAAGCTCCTCAGCAACTAGCACATACATTCATACTGTGTCTGATAATGGAGTAGCACAGATCCAGCAAGGCAAGTAGCCACTGATCGCCTTTTCCATGAATCTGTCCAGTCCCCTTTTAAAGCCATTCATATTGATGGCCATCGCTACTTCCCGTGGCAGTGAATTCCAGTCTAACTATCTCTGAGTGAAGATGTACTTCTTTTTATCTGTCCTAAACCTCCCACCAATCAGTTGAATGGTTAGATCCTTTGTTCTAGTGAAAGTATCTACTTTCCACCATGCATAATTTTAAACCCCAGTGTCATACCTCCCCTCACTCACCCTTTTTCTAAGCTAAACAATCCCAATTGTAACTGTTTCTCATAGGGAAATGTTCCAACCCCTTTACGTTGCCCTTCTCTGCTCTTATTCCACTCAATAATGTTCTTCTTTAAGTATGGTAACTGAACTGTGCATGATATTCCAAGTATAATCATACCAAAGATCTGTGCGGAGGAGTACAATCCTGGCAGTTTTATTTTCAATTTCTTTCCTAATTATGCCTAGCATGGAATTTGCTAGGATCCCATCAACCTATAATAGATGTTGGGATTTTTGCCCTATTTTTGCATAAATAATATTAAATAGATAAATAAATAAATACATGCATTACTTTACACTTGCTTACACTGAACTGCATTTGCCATTTTGATGCCCATTCTTCCACTTCAAGAGATCCCTGTGGAGCTCCTCACAATCCCTTTTGGTTTTAAGCACCCTAAACAGTTTGATGTCATCAACATCTGACCATTTCATTGCTTACTCCTAATGTTAGATCATTTATGAACATTGTTCCTAATACAGAATCCTGCTGGACCCCACTGTTACAGCCCTCCCTTGGGAAAAATCACCATTTATTCCCACTCTCTGCTTTCTGGTCTTTAACCGGTTACTGATCTATTAAAGGACACCCCATCCTTATTATTCCAAGATTACTCAGGAGTCTTTGCCGAGGGACTTTGCCAAAAGCCTTTTGGAAGTCCAAGTAAACAATGTTTACCAGATTGCCCCTGTCAACATACTTACTGACACTCTCAAAGAACTCTAATAGGTAAGTGAGACAGGACTTAGCTTTGCAAAAGCAGTGTTGATTCTTTCTCAGCAGGGCTTATCCCTCTATGTGCTTACTGAGTCTCTCTTTAACAACACTTTTAAGCAATTTACCAATGTTAAGTTAACTGGCTTGCAATTCCCCAGATCCCCCTGGATCTCTTATGGAACACTAGTGTTACACTGGCCTTTCTCCAGCCCTCTGGTGGAGAGGAGGATTTTAGGACACATTATATGTTTTTCAAGAAGGTCAGCAATTTCATATTTAAGCTCTTTAAGAACTCTAGGATGGATTCCTAATGATTTGCTAACTGCAATAAGAAGTTTGTAAAGAAGTTTTTCCATGCTTAACATGCACAAAAGCAATGTGTTTTCCAGCTGCAGAGAGCACAGTATGCAGTGTCTTCCGAAATGGGAAATGTGAGGAACAGGAAAGTCACATGGTATTAAACCACCTGTGAATAAGTGACAGCCACTACAACACTCTGTTCAGCTATATTGCTGCCCATTTCCTTTGCTCAACCAGTATGCACAACTGCTCTCTCTCATTTACTGACTCCCACACCTATAATTCCCACCTCAGAACATTCATGCAGTAACAGCAACTCACTCACTTGTCAAAGCCCATCTCAAAGCTCATCTGCTCTACAAAGCGTTTGGTTTACCCTCACAATAAAACATTACAGCCAATCTTCCCATTATTAAAAAGTGAAACATACTCACATAGTGTGGCTAGAGTCTAACTTTTAAAGGCATTTATGTATTAATTTGGCCTGTGACTCTATTAGTCACAGGCCAAATTAGTAGATAAATTGGGTGTGTAAATGCTTTGGGGAAAAACTTTAAACAGACTGGCAGATAGAGGCATTAAACTGGGATGCATGGGAAGACCAGCAGAGAAAAGTTATCACTTTATCAGGACACAGTTTCCCATCTCAACTTGCCTGTCCATAAACTGCAGTACGAAATCTTCAAATTCAGCAGTAGCAGAGCACAATTCTCTCTCCACCTACAATGTCAAAGCACAAGCAAAAAATAAAGCTTTATTATTCTGCTACTTCCAAGCTACTGCTAGACATTTCAAATTAGTTGTTACAGTGTATAGGAACTATGTCATCATTCAAAGTTCTGCCCTCAGTTAGCCTTACTCCTTGACTTGTCACGTTTCTTATCTGTGCAAAAAGGATAAAACTCCAAATCCTGCAAGCACTCAAAATTCCAGGACCAGAATTAAAACTGCATAAAAGAAGCAGTAACAATTGCTTGCAAATTTGGGAAATGCAGCTTAGTTTTTCTGGATGCTAAGTTGTTTTTTTTTTATTTTGTTACAAAGTACAAGCAAAAAGATACAATGATCTGAATTGTCTTACTTATACAGAAGGTTCTTGCTCTTTTATACTTAATCATCTTCAAAGCAGTTCAGCATGCCATCACTCCTTACAACAGAAACATTCAAAACAAATAAACAGCTGTACTCCGTATGTAAGCTACAGCAGGCCTGCTGAACCTCTAGCCATTGGACTTACTCGCACCTCCCACGCACCACAAGATCTCGTCCACGCAGTCTCTTTGGTTCCTCCAGGGACAAGATTCAGGATTCAAGCCCAGAACCCAGAAAGAATCCCCTTGGAGGACACCCCTCCCCCCCGCTGCTATCTTGAAGCAGACAGAAGCAGATAAGGATGGCCTGGACTTGGGACTGCCATCCTTTCTTCCCTGCACACGAAAGCATCTCAATACCCCTCATTCCCACTGATACCACCAATCTCAGAGCAGGGATAATAGCAGGGACAGCCGGGGATCCTGTCTCCGTCTTGGAACAATTCTAGGCCTCCTTCCAACACAAAGAGAAATGGTGGGACACGAGTTGCACGACCATGTCGTCTAACTTCATCTGAACTGCAGTGGACCTGGTAAGGGGCCATCCAGTCCCCCATCCCTAAGCAATTGTGTACCCCTGAGCTAAGGCAGAATTAGCCATTTAGAATCTTACCTCTGTGAGATTATTTCTCTCCTGTGGTATAGATGAACAATCTACTAAAGGCACTAGAGTAGAAAACGTTGCAATAAACTGGAATGTGATCTAATGAGAAAGGCAAAGAAAGTTTCAGCATGTATCAATTATACAGGAAGACGGCATTTATTTCTTTGTTACATTTACATCCTGCCTTTTTTTCTTCCAAGGAACTCTGGGCTGGGAGTGATGGGCCCAAAGTCACCCAGTGAGTTCCATGTTTGAGTGGGGACTGGAACCCAGACCTTCTGATCCCAGTTCCACACTCTAAACCACAACACTACACTGACTCTCTTTTAAAGAAATGTTGCAAGATCTGAGCAGTAAAAAGTGAGATGGATTGCTGGGTCTTGCAAAGCAGTTTATATGGTGAGCCAAGAGGTCTATCCACTCATTGTACACCTCATGCAAGTTGTGTGTTGCATTGTGCACCTCCCGTGCATGCTTACATTTAAATCCCATTGATCATTGTTGCCGAACACACTAAACTTTGGTTAACTCAAATTTGCTCAAGCAGGAATAAGGTGCTATGAGCTCCGATGCACTGCCTCAACTGTTTTACTAGCACAGCCAAAAGGAGGAGGGCTCTAGAGCCATTCAACTTTTACTTTATTTACAGTTACATTATAGTACAACCTATCAAAGAATACACGTTATCCCTAATATGTGATTCCTTTCCTTTTACAGTGGTGTTAAGTTTGGGGTCCTTGGAAGGAAGGACCAGGAGGAGACAGGAGATGAGGTGCAGCATGCATCAGACTAAATCAGGATGGACCACACATGATCGCTGCAGCCCATGCTGTTACCCGGCAGAGCCCCCAATAGGCTATTTTTTTTTCTTTTACCTGCCAAAAAGAGAGGAAGTCATAAAATGGACACATCCAGCATGAGAGAAGGTAAATTTGTCCGTTCTAAGCACTGGCTGCAATCTGTGACTTCCCCATCTTTTCAGTGTGCAGGAATATGGAGTGGAACATAGTCCTCAATGGGCTCAGAAAGGAGAAAATCACCCCCGGGAACCCCCCCCCCAAGGTTGCCCATCCCTGCCCTGGAATGAGGAAAGACTTGAAATATTGGGGGATATATGGTGGCAAAACCAGGAAGCTGTGGGAATCTGGAGCCATGTTCCAAAGCGACCAGAGATAGATCTGACTGTATCAGAGCATATGGACCGTAATGTACTCACCATGCATTTGCTAAAGTCATTTGGATCCACACCAGGCAATGCCCTCATCAACAGAGGCAACATGTGTGTTGGACCTTCAGGAAAGAACTTGCCCCCAGATACAAGGCTGCGAGCTACTCCAATTACACAGCTCAAGGTGGCTGTGAGTTGATGAGGTTCTGTTAATGTCTCTAGTGCAGGGTATGTTCTATGTAATTTTTGGGAAGAAAAATTAAGAAAGGGTTATTTTTTAATATTCAATGACGTATTCCTTGCTATGGACAACAAGACAAGCTGCCCTACATGGATATGTAAAATATCCTCTTAGAAGCCCGTCAAGCCCAGAATTAGGTTTCAGAGCTTTGCATACACACTTTTGATGTATCAGTTACATCCCACCGAACTGGCACAAGCACTGAATGCTCAAGGTATGTTTTTTATCAAGTGGCTTTGTGGCAGTGTTTTATATGGTGAATGAAACATAAGGCAAATTCCCATATGATATTAGAACCCAGAGATATCCAGCTAGCTAAATGGTGGGGGAATCGGGGAAAACAAAATTAAGTATTTCCTTTCACAATGTTCCTGGGCCAAAACTGAGCTATTCAGCTATAGAAACAACAACACTCTATGAGGCCCTTTCTTGGCCATCTCAAAACTAGACGCTAAACCATTTTTGCCAAGTCTATGAATACTTACTTTTCAAGTACTGGTGGGATTACCAACTCAGGACGCATTAGTGCAAGGTTCTGCAGAGCCTGGGCTGCCTCCAAGCTTCCAGTTTTGCTGAACATCGCCAGCAACACAGGTTGAATAATACATTCTACAAAGTCTGTTATGTCTTGGTCAGTAAGTTTATGGCTATCAGGCACAGGAGTAAGCCAAGTATTCTTCTTAAAACGCTCACGATGCAATCTTCTCACAATACTACTGGGTAATCGCTGAAGGAGCTTCATTAGCTTGTTCTGCCGGTGTACAGAAAAAGGCAAGAGAATCAACTTCAATTAATTAGAAGCAAGGGAAAGTGGCAAAAGCTGTCTCTGTCCCCATTATTTCTGGACTGTGTTTTTGGATTGTGGCATATGGACCTCTCACACTCGTTCCCCATAAAATACTATATCCTTAGATAGAACAACAACATTGCCAACAACAAACCTAGCTCTTTAAAATTGTATTCAACATTAACACTGTTTTTCAGGGAAGAAGGAAACAAACAGCATCTAGATTTCACTTCAAGCAAACAAGGTTAAACAAGGGTAAAATATATACATACATGCACACATATATATCCTTACCAACCAGCGGCCATTATTTGAGGGGTGGTAAAAAGATGCAATACTTTTGAATAAACCAGACAAGTGTTTCTGTACAAGTTTGCTTGGTCCACCCTGTCAAAAAACAGAGATGACAATGTTATTTGATACAACCTCAAGGAATCTGAATAAGGTTGCAAGGCAATTTTAACACATTCAATTCTAATAATAATTGTCAGTTATCAAAACTACAGCCACAAAAGGTTGCAAATCTCAAATACAGAAGCTCCACTTTCCAAAATGTTGTTTAAGGTTTTGTATGACAGTATTGCAACCTGGAACATGGCTCAGTAATTAACAGGCAGGTAACACAGTTCTTGTAACACAGGTCTTATGAGGGCATAGCTAGGTGTCCCGGTGAGCACCCAAGCTGCTGCATTCTGCACCCACTGCAGCCTCTAAACCAGGACCAAGAGCAGCTCCAGAAAGATGACATCCCTGTAATCCAATTGTGAGGTTATGGATGACCATGACTGAGTTATCCATATGCAGGAACAGGCTACGTTGACATACCAGATGAAGCTGGTTGTGAGCACTCCTGCCTGCCAAGATCATCGGAGCCTCCAGCGACAGAGATGGATCCAGGATCACTACCAAGCTTACTTTCTGCTTTTTCTGGGGGAGTACAACCCCAGCCAGACTAGGCTGGCAGCTCAATTCCTGGACCTGGGAATTCCCAGCCCACAGGGAGTGTCAGTGTATTATTAGCTCCTCCCATTCATTCACCCCTACAAGTGTTCCAACACATGTTCCATTTGTTCAGTATTACTTAAAATGTAGCCGCCCCCCAATTAGAAAAACCCCAGCCTTGGGCTAACTGAAAGAACTGGAAGGCACTGCTTTTGAGAACAAAGAGGAGCCCTGTTGATCAGGCCAAGAGTTCGTCTGGTCCAGCGTTCTGTTCACAAAGTGGCTGTCCATGAGAACTTACGAGCCAGACCCGAGTGTGACAGTGCCTGCTTCTCCATGTTCCCCAGAAACGGGTGCACTGCCTTTGATACTGGAGGTGGTGCACAGACATCAGAACTAGAAGCTATCCTTCTCCTTCTGGAATTTGTCCAGTCCCCTTTTAAAGCCATCCAAACTGTTGCCATCACTACATCTTGTGGACATAAATTCCATAGTTTAAGTAGGTGCTGTGTGAAGAATTAAGTTCTTTTATCTGTCCTGAATCTCCCATCAATCAGCTTCATGGAATGATCTACAGTTCTATTATGACAGAGAGAGCAAGAGAAATGTCTGCCTATCTACTCTTCTGAGCTAAGTTGCCCCTCTCTGTTCTTCTTACAACTCTACAAGATCTTTTTTTTAAGGTGTGGTGACCAAAACTGTACTAGTCCAGTCATGGTCACACCATAGATTTGTATAAGAGGAGCACAATATTGGAAGTTTTCTCTTCAATTCTTTTCCTAGTTCTGCTAAAGTGGATTTTTCTTTTTTCACAAATGTTGCACACTATGTTGAGCTGTCCAGCATGATCCCAACATCTCATTCTTCATCCCCTTAAGTTTATACCTGTAGCTACGATTTTTAAACACACATGGACAGAGAGGACAAAAGATACGGTCTCACAGTCATCTACAGTAGAGCTCAATAACCACATAGGTTAAGTTGGGCTTGCCAGCTATATGAAACTTCTCAAATTTATCTTGCTTAGACTAATTTCATCTGGTCCCAGCAAGATTACCACATTATATTCAATATGTAGTAAAATGTTTTCCTAAGAGTTTCACTCACAAAGGATAAAGTTTATTTAAAATATTGTAAAATCAGATATTCCAATACCTTCCCTGGATTTTTATAATATGGTGCCCACAGAAAGCCAGAGGGTGTGTGCCTCTGAGAAAGCTCTAATGAGATCATTTTGTGTGCCAAGGCATTTTCACTGCCTAGGTCTCCGTCTGGAGAATTACAGAGAATTACAGTCAGCTACAAAATGGAAGCATATTTATTTAAACACATGTTTATAAGCATATAGTCACATAAAACCTCAGAGGTAAAATAAAGAAAATATAGTTAATTGGGAGATGTGAATACCCGGGTTTGGATTAGGAGAAGAGAGTGTAGTGGAAATAAAAGGACCCTACCATCATGGCTGTGATCCACATGACTGAGTGTCCTATGTCGTAAGCATTCGTCAGAAATCGTGGAACCAGCACCTGGTTACTCCCTACTGGAAGATTCAAACTTCGCAGTATCCTGGTAAATATCTGGAGAAAAAGAAATTCTCTAAGTAATCAAAGCATGCTATCCAAGACTTGGCATTTGATTTTTGTTCTGAAGTGCTTCCTGAGTACTGAGATATGCCAGCTTAACACCCTGACACGAAGTGCTCTGCAAGCAAAAGCTCCATTGAAGGGGATAAGTATAGCTAGAGGCACAGAGCTGGTGTGGCAGAGCTCCTACAATATTTTCAGATGAAAAAGCACACTGCAACTTCACTTCAGCAACCTACACACTGTCCTGTTTAGGTCATCTTGAAATCTCTCTCAATTTATGTTTGTTTACCATTGCACAACTGTTCCACATCTCTACAAAATGGTTCAGAACTTCTGACTGCTAAATGCATATCCCCATTCCATGCCCAGCACCTGGAAAGCATCTATATAAAATTGTTGAAGAAATAAAGTCATGTCATGTCACCAGAGGTTATCCTTTCAAAGAAAACCAGCTCTCTCAGCAGTGACCACTGATGTTCATGTTCAAGCTCTGAGCATTAGTGGGTACACAGAGAAGCCCGGCAATAACTGAAGTATTCCAGAAGAGTTCTAAAACTGTGAAACTGTGTTATAATTAATTAAAACTTGACAGGCCTCAAGGTTCAGGCTTAACAGATATGATGCAGGAGAGACCATTAGAACCAAATAGGCTGGTGGTCATTAAAAACTAAGCCCTGGCAGCAACGGGGGGTAGGCAGAAAGGAGAGAGGACAGGAACGCCTTTCCTAATCTCTCACAACCCCATTCTCTGTTCCCTTCCTTTCATCTCATTTTCCCCATCTCTGTCACTCTCCTGCAACCCCTAGAAGTTGCATATGTCTCTAAGAGTTCCATCTACCACAGAAGGAAACAGGAGTCCTAGCTTTGGTTATCATACTTTAAAGGGAGTAGCAGAAAAGAGAACAATCTGAAACAGTTGTGAGAAGTGTAGCATGAGAAATTTTCTCTATGATGGAATTGATACATGTCTTTCTCTGTAATGGAGTTGATACATCTTTTAAAAAGCACAAAGGGATAATTAGGAGGAAGGAGAGTAAGCAATATCATTTTTTCCCTTTACAATAAAACAAATTCTAAACCATAAGGAAGGCTGAGCAACTAAGAATTGAGGCCTTTGAATTGTGGTGTTGGAGAAGACTCCTGTGAGTCCCTTGCACTGCAAAGAGATCAAACAAGTCAGTCTTAGAGATCAAACCTGACTGCTCTTTAGAAGGCCAGATACTGAAGATGAAATACTTTGGCCACCTGAATGAGAAGGAAGGACTCACTGGAGAAGAGCCTAATGCTGGGAACAATAGATGACAAAAGAAGAAGGGGACGGCAGAGAATGAGCTGGCTAGATGGAGTCACTGGGGCAGTGGGTGTGGGCTTGGGTGGACTCTGAGGCATGGTGGAAGACAGGAAAGCCTGGAGGAATGTTGTCCATGGGCTCGTGATGGGTCAGGAAGGACTTTGTGACTAAATAAAAACAGAACAAATTCAGTGCCAGGCAACAAATTCTCTCTCTCTCTCTCCGATACAGTGCTTGTGTTTCTTACTGAGGCATAAAAACTACAGGTGCTATCACCAGAACCATGCATTCTATAGCATAAGCCAATCATGTTTCATGTTACTATTTCTTAAAATCCTTAGCACTTCCATATACTGGACATTACCTTTGGAATATAGGGATCCCAGCTGATATAGCCAATGTTATCAGTTGCCAAGCGTGCAAAAAGATTAACAAGATGCTGAAAAGAAACAAACAGCAGTCTGTATCTTTCTGATACAACACAACTTCAGTGCAAAATTTACTCTAGTTGAATCTAATTACTGTTTAACACTAAGTAAGTGCAGACATTTAGTGAAGACACTTTAACACCATGGCTTCAGGTTGTAAAGATGAGCAAGTAGGGAGTTCCTGAAATCTTAACCATAGCTAATTGTGATGTTTTTGTCTGTAGCCGAACTCTCAAAGTCAAGGGCCCATTCTGATACTACACTTTAGAGACCTCTAACAAAATCCAGTTAAATTCAATAAAGTTTACAGCAAACCAAAGAAAAGAAACCTTTTCTCATACTACATGATTGCCCTACTCATTAAAAAGTTCCAAGTGAACCCTGGCGTACTGGCTTGATATGAGAAAATTAGAAGTTGCGGCAATTATATAGAGCCCAGGTCTAGATTTTCAACCTAGAAAAATCTCTGCATTCTGAAAAGGCTACAAAAGGAAAATTATACACAAGGCGGTAATTAAACAAGACCCAACAAATAAACTGTGGGCTTGCTTATTCATTTGGTGAAAGTTCTCAAATTGTCCCAAATTGTCCTTCCTGGCACTACGATTTCTAGTCCAGTTATTGACAGAAAAAAAGAAACAGGAATACTCACTCCCTCCCATTGCGGAAGATTCTGAACTGAAACCCAGAGGCCTAGAAACTCCTCAATCCAGAGCCTGCAAAATAATGAAATCAGTTCCACTAGTTTATTACTTTGCCAAAGTCAGGATCAGTTAATATGAAACAACACTGTTCCCACCACCAATATTTAGTATTTATGCAACACTTTGAACATGAAGGGACTCACATTGTTATCTTTGTAAACTTGACACTGACCTTATGTCAGTATTATTAACTCCACTGCAGAGTGGGGACTGACAAGAGTAGCTTGCTTAACTCTATCCAGAGAATTGCTGCTGACGTTAGATTTAAGCTTTGAGGCTCACAGCATATGCTCTCAGCTACTATGATCAGGCTGACTGGAAGGTACAGGGTTTTTCCCCTAGTCTTGTGCTGAATGTCCTTGACACAATAGCCCAAGGCAAACATCTTTTAATCACGGTCACCTCCTACCCTTGAGGCTATTCTGCATCTTGGAAGTTTCCTCTCCATTCCTGCTCAATTAATTTCTAAATCCCTACACTGTATTTCATTTGGCCAATTAAAACATGATTATTTTCTCCTTTTTCCAGCCTCCCATTATTTGGGAGCCACTCTAGCTGGCATGTTGCCATATCTGGTAGCACACACACTTAAGGAACTTTGCTGCATTTTTGCTATATACAGTTATATCTACTTCTTCGAGTCACAGAGGGCTGGAAAAACTGCATGAGGCTGATTGGGAAATCAGTCCCTGTACATTCTGACCCATCTGAGAGTAAAGATAAATGTGAAGACAGCTCAAAAGGCCACAAACCTGCAACCTAAGTGGAGAAGCTGCCATCGGGAAGACAAAAGTTGGCCTTTAGATAAGGAACTAGCCAACAATTAAACAAATTAGGCCTCATATCTTGTATAAAATTTAGACCATACCTTAAAATTTTCTAGCTGTATCATAATTGTCTTAAAACATTCATGGAGGAGAGTGCTTGACAATTATTTGTTTTGATACCAAGCAGCAGAGGCCATGTATTCATGCCTTATTATGGAGATGTTTCTTAAAGCTACTCAGGAAGCACATGCCATAAGTGTCAACTAAAGGCAAGTCTCTCTCTTTTTAAATGTTTTATTATTTAAACTACTACAATACATTGATACAAATATTTAAAAGAATAAAAAGAAAAAAACACCACAAAACACAACAAACACACACACAATTAGAAAAAAACACAACTAGTGCACCCTTCCACTGGGACGATGGCTACATAGTATTTATTCCTTCATTTGTTTCTTCTTCCACATTTCTTCTAAATTTCCAGTCTTTTAGGAATACCCCATGGAACTCAAGGATGAAACACAGTTCCTTTCCAGCCTGTGCAACATTAGAAGCTTGTTATTTAATATTTATTCTTTTGATTCTTCCTCCCTAGTTATTGAAAGTTGCCAAGGCTGAGGAAACAGACCTAGATCAGTTAATGCCTTTCTTAGTTACTGTATAGTGCCTGCTGCCTTAATTAAAGTAACTTTGAATCCAGCTCTTTGGGATAATTACTGCCAAAGCAGTCATTTATGAAGCTATGCATGGAACTCAAGGATGGGACACAGTCCGGAGAGGAGGGGTGCTATGGACAAGCACTTGAGAAAGTGTGGCTTAGTATGACCTTGAAATGATAAGCCCAAAGAGAAACCAAACTGAGATATGAAGCCACTTAATGAGAACATTCAAGGACAGCCTGAAGCAGCTTGGAGATAAATATGCAGCTGTCTCAATTCACGAGGACAGAAAGTGTTTGTTTTAAAATGTTTATTAAGCATAGCTGTATATCATCTTTGACTGTAGCTTTATCAAGAAAGTATCTTAATCTACATAGTGTGATTTCCTTCTCTCTACTCTGTATTAAGTGACTTTTTTGAAGAGAAACATTGCTAATAAATCTTGCTTTTCCTATCTCTTTTCAGATTCTGCACAAAACGTCAAATCTTTTGGAAGGACAAATTTGCTAACAAGTCGGGTGGGGGGGGATCCACCAATTCAGTCTCATTACTCTGCACACACACACTTGCTCCCCACCTCTCAGCAATTCAGTTCTTCTCACTTAAAAGCTTACTTTTTCTAAAGCTTTAGAACTTGCACACTCAGTGCAATTTTGTACTTGCACCCCTGTAACATACCATAAAATCCTATTGAAATTTCTCCCAGTTTCAAAAGAAGCTTGTCCTGTGGCATGGAAAACTGCTATTTAAAAGACCGTATATACCCATAACTTCCTTGACCAGAACTAGGCACACAAATATTTGAATCCAGCCCAATTCTTTAAAATTGTTTCACCACCCAAGTCAAATGGCACCAAGCATTCCTTATGTAATTGAAATCCCCAAAGTCACTATTACAGGGCTAGCAAAGCCACATTAAGAGCCACAGGATTATTTGGATACCCCGATCTTCAATTGGAAAGAGATCCAAACTTGCAGTTGAGAATCTGCACTCTGACCTCCCCACTCCCCACTTGCAGCTCCAAAGCCTCAAAAGTCACCCTGGAGGGTGCATTTCAGTGGGCAGGAAGAAGAGGAAACTGAAGAGACTGGGATACAACATATTGGCTGTCCTCTGCACCCTCCTTCCCTGCCCTCTGAAAAATCCCAGCAATATGACTGAAAATGGCCATCTAGTAAAAATGCAGAATGGGAGGTACGAGGGGGGGCAGAGATTCCCTCTGCTGCGGCTCCCACTCTGCACAAAATGCTCTTAAGCCGAGTTTTGGGGCTTGCAAGCACTGAGGATGTAACCCACAGGACTGTGTCCTACATTTGCCAGAACTGAAAGCCAAATCAGAATTGTGCCAAAGATGTCAATGACAAGCATCAAAGCAGTGCCAGCTCCAAAATTCTGGAAGCCTTTGATAAAAGTACTTTAACAGGCCTCTTTAGCCAGAGAGAAGTAACACATGCGGAGCAGTCACACTGCCTCTGACCTTCTATGGTGCACCCTGCAAGACAGAAAAGTGTGCTACTGGGGCAATGAGTTCTTTGATGACCCTGAGGCTCTGGCAAATGCCCAGTCCCACTCCCACTACAGACAGACCCTGGAGCCTGAACCAAAAGCCTAGACAGCAATGGGCTTCGTCTGCTTAAGACTCAGGTTCAAAAAGGATTTGGCACCACAATCAACTATTTATCAGAGTTAGCATATTAAAATGGATAAAGTTCCAGTAAAAGAGTTGTTACGTAGTAATAGCATTATAGCTATTCAGTATAGACAACTCAGCAGTTTTCCACTCAAATAATTAGTACTTTAGATGATAAAATTACAGTGTCTATTATGCAACAGCTAATTCTGGACAAGCAACTTTCAGGCAAACTTCTAAGAACATGCCCCTTACAATCTAGTATGCAAAATTCAGCTATTAGAACAGGAGAATAATATTGCAGTTTAACACATGTGTTGTACTAGCCACCAATGATCAGACAACAGCTTTCCATGCTATAGATTGCACTGTGAAAACGCTGTGGGAAGTGGTAAGATCAACTTACTTAAAACCTTTATGGTGGAGTTCTGGAGGAAGAGTTGTAGGCAGAAACAGTTCAAAATAAGTGATGGCCTTCTGCATGGTAACATCAAAGGGACACATTAATGGCCGCCATTCATCTAACATCTCTGCTGTGGCATCGTCTGAAAAATACCTAAAGAGGAGAGCGGTATCTTAGCCTTATAAGCAAAAGTAGTACTTCAGCAACACATACTTAAATACATGGAATTCACTGTCACAAGATGCAGGAATAGCCATTACTTTTATAAATAAATACATTCATTGGGAAAGGATTAGTCATTAGTCTGTAAGTCTTTGTAAAAGGCATTAGACATAATAATGCAGGAAAGATGAGCAGAAGCTATTAACCAAGGCAGCTAAATGCACTTTTGTGTTTAGAGACAGGATACCCTGCATACTGGAAACAGGAGCAGGACATCACTGGCAGGTCCTGATGTAGCCTTCTGTACGGTGTCTGGCTGCCTGCTGTTGTAAATTAAATGCTCTTCCAGATGTACTGATGCAGCAAGACAATTCTGTTGTGCTCATCAGGCTAGGGGGACCCCCCCCACACACATTAAAGGAAGTCAAAACAGAGTTCTACACCATGCAGATTAGTTAGACCCACACATGCCACACATCTGACTAGGGCAAGAAACCAGATGCAGACCCTCTCCTCAGTAAGAGAGTGCTACCCATTACAATGAAATTAATGTGGCAGATAACAAAAGAAGGAAAGAATTCAGTTTTCTAACTTTGTTTTTTTTCAATCTTTTCCCACAACTGTCATTATATACTAGTTCCTAAATAACAGGGAACAGAACAGTGCAATCCTTCCTTTGGAGACAGGCCATCAACTAGAATCTGGCAACAGAAATACGCTTATCTCCTTTTGCTTTACTGTCTAGAACAGGGGTGTCCAACCTGTGGCCTGTGGGCTGCATGCGGCCCAGGATGACTATAAATGCAGCCCAACACAAAATTGTAAAGTTACTTAAAATATTATAAGGGGTTTGTTTTTTTGCTATTTTTTTTGTAACTCAATTGCACAGTTCTTGAGCATGAACTTTGTAGACGACAATGTTGTGTTGCAATGTCACATAAAATAAACGTACGTATGCTCTCGCTATTTGTACGCATGTGTGGCTTCAGTTTTACGGTGGTGTGCAGCTTCCAGTGTGTTATCTTCCAAACGCAGACAGTCAAATTGATACCATCAAACGTTACATGTGCTCATGGTGACTTGGCAAGTGAAACGCAGCGATTATCAATATTTCAACCTACCACTGCAAATGATAGGCGTTTAATGTTATTTAGAAGACAGCTATGCATTCTTATTTGATTATTAAGGGTACTTCCACATCTCAGTGGTGCCTCACACATCACCCGCCACGCTTTGCAATCAGCTCTCCACCTCATGCTGCATCAGCAGCCGCGAAGCAGAATAGCCCAAACTTTGCTTTCTATTTTCCTGTCAATTTCCTTTTTCATAATAAAAGTAAACATAGCCCCTTATCTATTGTTATTTTTTCAATCCCAGCAGGGGTTTTACAACATCGCAAAAGAAAACAGAACCCAAAAAAGAAAAATTACAGAAGAAGAAAGATTGTTCAGTGAAAAGTGGACAGGTGACTGCTTTTTTGTTGAGGCAAATAGTAAGGCACTCTGCTTACTTTGTAGGGAATTTGTGCAAGTATTCAAAGACTATACTTTGAAAAGGCATTATATGCAAAAACATGCTGCATATCAAGGATTGTGTCATAAGGAAAAATAGTGGAACTGAAAAAAGTCTGTCTTCTCAACAATTTTTTTAAAGTTACAACTCAGACAGATTCTATTGTAAAAGCTAGTTATATGGTTGCATATTTAATAGCAAAAAAAAAAGCTAAACTATTTACTGATAGTGATTTTATTAAGCAACGTATGGAAAGTGTGGCAGATATAATTTGCTCTGAAAAAAGGGGGATATTTCTAAAATCAGTTTGTCTCACCAGACTATAGCCAGGCGAATTGAAGAAACTGGAAAATCAATCAAAAAAAAGTTTGGAGAGCAAAGTTGTGAATTTTAAATTTTATGCTTTGGTGATGAATGACAGCACTCATGCTACAAATACAGTTCAACTTGCCATTTTTATTAGAGGTACTGATGACAAATATAATGTCACTGAAGAAATGGCTTCTTTAGTGCCATTAAAAGGCACAACTAAATCAACATTTATATGAAGCAGTAAAAAATATGTTAAAGTGATTTTCTTTGTCCATTGTCAACTTATCTGGAAATTACTGATGGTGTCCTGGCAATGGTAGGCAAAAGAGAAGGACTTGTAAAATTAATTGAAGGCGATGCAATTGCAGCCCAAAACTCACATTTGATGAAGTATCGTTACATAGGATACCAAGAAAAATTATGTGCAAAAAATGGATAACATTATGCAGATTGTCATCAAGACTGTGAATTTCATAAGGGCCAAGGGATTAAATCATTGCCAATTCAAGGAATTCCTGAAAAGTGTTGATGCTGACAATGGTGACGTCATTTACTTTTCAGAAGTAAGATGGCTTTGTTGTGGCAAAATGTTGAAAAGATTTTATGATTTACGAAATGTTATCAAGTCATTTATGGCATCAAAAAGAAAATTTGTGCTAGAACCTGACAATGAAAACTGGCTCACAGATTTAGCATTTCTAGTGGATTTAACCACTCATTTAAATAGGTTAAATATGCTTCTTCAAGGTAAAAACCAACTTATCATTACAATGTTTCAAACTATAACAGCCTTCCAACTGAAACTGCAATTATGGCAAGCTCAAATTAAGAAAAACAATGTGTACATTTTGACACTTGGCTAAACACAATCCTGTGAATAGCAAAAAATATGCAGCCTTGCTTTTCAATTTGATACGAGAATTTAAAAAGAGATTTCAAGATTTCTGGGAAAATAATCAATATTTTGGTATATCTGTGACTCTATTTTCAGTTGATATGAATGTTATCTGCCAATTTTCAAATGGAATGCACAGAGCTGGAATCTGACATTCAACTTAAAGAAAAATTTGATCATGTGTCTTTACTGGACTTTTATAGGTCCTATCTTCCCAGAGACAAATATTCCTTACTTTGCAATCACGCCTTATTCATGTCATCGTTTTTTGGCAGCACCTACATTTGTGAGCAGCTATTTTCAAGAATGAAGCACACTAAGAGTAAAATTAGATCCAAAATATCTGATGAGCACCTTGAGTACTCACTGAGAATTGCAACTACTTGCATCAAACCAGATATTGATGCATTAGTTTCTCGAATGCAATGTCAAATATCCCACTAGTTTTATGTTGCCCTCTTTTACTTTTATAATAAAAACATATAAAAAACCCAATGAAGTTTTATTACTTAGATATGTTCATTTTCTATATTAGTGATTGCAAACTTGGAACCTGCTCAATGATTTTAAGAGATGAATGTAGCGCCGCATAATTAGAATTATTATGTGGGGACTTTTTTGCTTATCTGTGGTGGCGGATATCACAAAAATTATGCACAGATTTTTTTTGCTCATCAGCTTTTGTTAGTGTTTGTGTATTTAATGTGTGGCTCAAGACAATTCTTCTTCCAATATGGCCCAGAGAAGCCAAAAGGTTGGACACCCCTGGTCTAGAACTCACTGAAGGAAGCCTGGCAGCCCTCCACAAAAATTACCAGGTTTACACAATTAGGAAAGGAAAATAAGCTACCACAGCTTAATTTCAAGACCTGCACACACCAGTCATACATCCCAATTATAGTAATTATCCTCACCCAAACCCAGTGAGAGTTGGGGATAATTTTACAAACCACCCCAGAACCTAAGGCTTGTTCTAGGGTCCCAGGGTGTTTGCAAACTCTCAGACTCAACTCATCCCAGATTCAGAAGTATGGCAATTCAGCAGCATACAACTGGTACAGATGGGGTGGAAAAATAAGCTACAATGGTTTGTTTTCCTTCCCCCAAAATGCCAACCCTCCCAGTGCCTCTGGGGAATTACTGTTTTAAGAATCAGAACTAGTCGAGTTCTCCAAAGAGTGCTGAAAGCGAAGTCAAATGGAAGAAATGCCATCTATGAGGCTAATGAAATGAGACCCGTAAATTATTTGATTTCAGGTGCATACAAATTGCAATTCCAACTGTTTCCCCATAGCGTGTGAGATTCTGTTTTTAAAAGACTATTTAAACAATGCAGCAGTAATAAAGGATCTGAAAATTGTCAAAATACTTACGGCCGACAGTTTTTCACAAGGGTTTTCAAAACACTTTCTACAGAGCTAAAATGAGAAAAAGAGGAAGATTAGATAAATTACATCATTCTATTTCAAGTGAAGCACATTAAGACAACAACATGATTGTACCACTTCTAAGATGATATGATGCAATTAGACACCATCTGTGTACATGCAGTAGTTAATCTTCCTTTATGATGCAGACCTAATTACAAGGATTAAAAGTGATTTGCCTGATACCTGACTTTGCTCTTTACCTCTCCTTGGGTATCTGTTGGACCACATATAGGAAAGACCACCAGTATGCTTTGGTTTAAGTAGCTGAGCTAGTATCACTGTATCAGACTTTGAAAGTAAGAAAAATTAAAAATGTCACACAATGGTTGATAAAGCTCTAAGATAAACTGTCCAAAATGTATCCTACCTGCAAATTTGGTTCCTATTAATGTAAATGCCTTGAGTTATAGCATATTATAAATTTATATGTAAAGAAGTCATTCCTAGAAGCTGATCACTGCAGTAACTATTCACTGGCCCACAAATATTCCTGTTATGCGAAAGAGGTTCAAGCAGTGGCTCAGCTCCAGAAGCCATTGGAGAATACAGTCTATCTGGACTCATTTCATTCTGTTTTCCCACACAGTACAGCAAATTCTCAGTGGCTTGACTGAACCTATTCAGTCAGTCCAACAGTAACTTCCTGGGCTAACTGAATAGTTTGCAAACATTGTGTTTCGGTAAATACTGCCTCTACCTAATCAGCAGGTTCAAAATTCTGCTCTTTCTCATGGCAATGTTCCTATGGGGTTCCACAGGGCTCTGTTTTGTTCCTTATGTTTCTCATAACTTATATACCAGTAGCTAGTCATATACAGCTTGCAAGCTGCATGCAGGGCCCTTGGTATTTTTTGTGGCACCTCAATGCTCCTCCACCAGATTTAAGACTGACATTTAATAGCCTGGTAGCAAAAAAGGGTTGATTTTTCCATGTTGTCACAAACACAAGCAGTGGCTTGTCACTGAAATTCAGTCACGTGGCAACACAAAAGGCCTGGCTTGCTCTTACTTCTAAGGAAAACTGCCCCCTTTTGCCCCTTTTTATTCGTGGAGCATCTGTGTGTGATTAAGAACCCTGAATTTCCAGGGTTCAGGGTGTTCTTTTTCATGAATAAAGGGTGATGGAAACACAGGAGCAGGGAAACAGGGCTAGAACATTCCTTCTCATGTAGTCACACTACACAAATTCTGAACAGCTGGAGAGGACCAAGCGGGGATCAAAATGTTAAAGTGCACCTTGCAGTGGACGGGTTGCAACCCATACATACCCCGGTAAGGCGCAAATCTGTAGCTTGTTGTTTTGCTGCCAACTACACAACGCTCTTGGATAAAGATAACCTTACCAGAGTAATTACCATAATGGGTTTGTCAGTCGAACAGCCTTCCCCAACCTGGTACCCTCCAGATATTTTGGACTCCAAGTTGCTTTATGCCCAGCCAGCATGGCCGCTGCTTTAGTGTGTTAAACGTTGCTCTACCTTTAAAGTGTTTAGAATCCTAAACCTATTACACAGATGGTGGCAATGCCACTGTTGCCCTGACCACACTATACTAATCTTAACCAACACGGGCTGGAATCATCTTTGTCTTGATGCAGCAAAGCCTTCAAGCAACTCTGTGCAGCTGTCAGGGCTGGGCACATTCTGCCCACCCTGTCTGAGTGGAACCCACCCACTGACACCCTTAGGCTCAGCTCTTGCCATGGCACACCCACCCAGACTCTTGAGGAAGCACTGTTCATGCCCAAGGAGGCTGACCCCACAGCAGGAGGCAGTCCTATAACTCTGTCAGCCCATTAATTTCTCCAGACTTCAGACTCTATGGACTGCAAAGCAATGAGCTGGGTAATGACATCTTCACCTCGTGACTACTGTACGCTTCAACAACATGGACACATTTAAATTAATTGTGATTTAAATACAAGGCACACCTCTAGAATCCCCTTAACATGCACAATAGCCTTCAGGTGTCTAGAAACCATAATCTTCCTCCTATTGCACTGATGAAAAGACAAATGTACTTCCTCTTGTATTATTATAGACTGTAAAATTATACATTATTTACCTGCATGTTTCTGCCCAATTCAAATATTAACATGCAAGAATATCTTAAGCAGTGTCTTCTAATAAGAACCTGTCTGCTATCCACTGAAGTAATCAATGGAGGCCCTGGCCCTTCCCGACTTTCAGAAGTGAGGTCAGATCAACTTTTTTCAGTGTCCTTTCTATGCTAGCTCCTGAAGTATAGAGGATGGAACAACAGAATTCTCCCCTTGGAGACAGTCCATTAGCCACAATCCATCAACAGAGACACTGTGATGCCACGTCTCTGCCATGCCTGTAAAGCACCTTCCCCAGAACTTCAAGTGTCAACATCATTGCTTCCATTAGAAGGCAAATCAAAAAAATGTTTTCTCTTCAGACTTTTACTTACAGTTGCTATCAGCTCTTTCATTGGTGTAATTTTGCTGTGTTTAACTATGGTTGAATTTCTGATTTTAGATTTTTTTTACATAAATACATAAGCATCAATATTGAGCTGCCATCACCATCAAACTATAGAAAAGCAGTATACAGTGGTACTTCGGCTCCTGAACGCCTTAGTTCACAACCAAATCAGGTCACGAACAAAAATTCCATGAAAATTTTGATGTGGATCGCGAACTCCGCATTGGGTGGCAACCAAGATCACAGCCATCTCCCCCCCTGCCCCACAAGTGGGGAGATGACCACGAATGCAGTTGCACTCATGCAGGGAAGATGTGTGTGATCATGGGCGCGCTCCTGCAGGAAAGATGGGCTCAATCTTGGCCATCTTCCCTCCCTCAAGCAGCACGATTGCGGCCATCTCTCCCCCCCCCGAGTGACGGCGCGTGCAGGGATGAAAGGCGCGATCTTAGTCGTGCTGGGGGGGGCGGGGAGATGGCCGCACTTGTGCTCGGGGTGGGGAGGGGGAGATGGCCACGATCTTTGTTGTTCTTTGTCACTTTGCTTCATATTTTTCTAATTAAAAAAATGGTTACAGAACGGATTAACCTTATTTACATTGAACCTTATGGGGAAATTTAACTTGGCTCACGACCAATTTGGGTCACGACCAGAGTCCTGGAATGGATTAAGTTTGTGAGCCAAAGTACCACTGTATGAATGAATGCATACATAATAAATAAATCATGCTTAAATAATGAAAACAGGCCAGCTTTCCAATTTTTCTCTCAATTCACTCATTTCTCTGGGATTTGTAAGCAGAAGTACTCATACATTACAGATGTTTCTGACAAATAATTATTATACACATGCAGTTTTGCTTAAAGTATAGAGATTTAACCCTTAATGCCATGTATGAACTACTGTATTTTTATAAAAACAACAGAAAAAAATAAGCCGCTTTCTTGGGATATAACTGGGATTACCATTAACATCACTGTAATATTCAGATTTATATTGCACTGCTATTTAGGCTAAGATTAAATGTTCATGCAGAGTTTCTGGGTGTTAGGAAATTATGTAAGACTTTAGAAATTCACACTGACCTTCCAAGTGAGGAGACAAGTGTGTCTTGTTACACTCGTATTGTTTTATTTTTTTTCAAAGCTCCTTGACACTTCAAGGATGTTCAAGAGTTAGCAGCATTTTAAACAAATGAGTATCTCATATCACGCACTTCCGTTCATCTCATTCCATATAGCCACATAGTTATAACATGCTCTGAGAAACACAGAGGAAAGACATGGACCTTCTGTAGCAGCTGCTTGCACCTCATCTATCACCATAAGATTGAAGAATAGGAATCTGCCTCTCTCACATTTCCATAATTAAATATACTAGAGGGAATGACCTGGGCCTAGAAGTGTTGCCATATTAGCCTGCTGAAGTACAGCAAAAAAAAAAAAAAAAAAAACCTAAAAACTTTAAAGATCAAGAATTTAATTATGGGGTAAGGCTGTGCAAGGAAAACCCTACATGGTTTATTGATTTCAAGTCACATCTAAAAGAGCAGAACAATGCATGGGATTCGGCATTATTCCCACACAAAACATTCCAACTGACTTCACAGACAGGTACCCAAGAACTATTGTGCACCCCCTGATGTTTTGTGCACAAATTAGCACCATTCAGATGAATACAGACTAATACCAAAAAGAACATCACAGATTTATATCAAGAAAATTCTGAAGAATTATAATTCAGTTTTAAGACACAGTATTTTTAGGAATCCAAGTTAATCTTTCTCTTTCCCAGAAAAAAGTTAATCACAATGGAAGGTGACAGTTACTGGCAGCCTGAATTATATCTGCTATTATCATCACTGTTGCATTGAAATAAATACAGAATTTTACCAAGCATCAAGATCAGGGTGCACAATCTTTAAAACGTCAAGGGCTGCACCCCCCCCACACACACACACACACAGACACTTAAGCATATGCACCAGTGATCCTAGAACAGATTGCTAGGAGCAGCAGGCAAAGAGCAAAATGAGAGGATTGCTGGGGAAGTGGGTGAAGAGCCTTATCTCCCCCTCCCCCACCCCCACCTTGCTGCTCCTCATACAGATCTCATGTCCCTGTGATGAAAGTACAGTCACTACGAGGATCTCTGAGGAAGGCAATCTGGCAACAAGTGGGGTGAAGGCAGTCAGAGTGTCAAGAGCTGGTCTTTCCCAGCTCCTTCCAAGCAGACCAGAACAAAAGCCTTCTAACTAAAGTCCTCATTATGTTCCAACTGCCCAGTGTTGATTTATAATGCAAAATCATTAACAAAAGACACCAGTAAAGGTAGAATACTAGCCATTAGAGAAACACATCATAATGATAAAACAGTTGATTCCCAATTAAATACCTCTCCTCCCTTCCCATCCAAAAGGGAGCTGACTCCACCTTCAGGGTGGCTCATGGCACTTCTGGGCCAATCAGTGAGATTTAAATGGTCAGCCCTTTAAACATGACACCACCTAATTGCTCTAATAATGTAAAGTCCATCCCCATC